AAAAAAAAAAAAAATCACTTTTCACAAAATATATTCTCAAAAAATCTCTACCAACATGAACCAAGTCACTTGGTGAAAATTATAAGCTCACTTCAACTATCCATGTTTCCTTCACCACCAAATTGGTGAAAATTATAAGCTGATGTCAACTAGCCATGTTTTCTTCACCACCAAACTATTTCAAACCATAGAACATAAAGATTATCTGCCATAGAAATGAAGTTATGTTGGATTAAAGCATCATGGTCCATAAATCACTAAACCCTTGCTTGATTTTGATTATTTGAGAATTATTTCTCTTATGACACTCATTTTGAATCATACAATCTACAATAAAAAATTGTTTTTTACGTTTCCTGATAACTTCTTCCTATTTTTTAACCATACATTTACAAAAGTCTATATCAAACAAGTGCTAAATCGTTGAAAAAATATAAATGTGTGTATATATTCTTTGAGTTACATGATGAAAAAGCCTCATCTGATTCACCGGTTTGATTGCTCAAGACACAAAAGGGTAAAAGTTTCAAAGAAACGGGAGAATACATGATGACAGAAATAAAATGCGTGAAAGCTATACAAAAATTACAGTAACAGCACAAGGGAAGCTGTTATAAGCATCAGCATTGAGAATAGGTTACATATTATCTTACCGGCACTAGATTTCTCTGTTTTCTCTGATAGTGATGATGGTGGCATTGCAGAGCAATCAAGTCCATCCTTGGACTCCCGGCACTCACTGGCAAATAGACCAGGTGGATACTTCCCGTAGAGGTTAATGTAGCTGAACATGGTTGAAGCACATTCGTTAGATAAGTCGTTCAGCTCATCATAAAAAGGACAAGCAAATTCTTTGAAGGCGCTGCAGCACAGATTGGGTGGGTATAGTGGCCCTTTGCACTTGCTGGTGATGATAGTGTAGTTCTGGAACTCAAAGTTAACTGGGCAAGCTGTGCATCACAAACGACAAAATAATCAATGAACCATCCTTAAAAGCAGAGAGATTCGAGAGTTTCAAATGAAGATGCAATGTTCCGGAAAATAAAATCGAATCTCGGCTGTTTTTGCTTAAAATATTTGAACAGAGT